AGAGGCAAAGCCCCGGCTACACCTCACGAAATAAGCAGAATAAAATCAAAAGTATTGGTATTTCACTTGCGCCCGAAAGCTCCCATTGCTCTACTTCTTCTTCCTCCTCCTCATCCTCCTCATTTTGTTCTTCTCCCTCCTCCTCTTCCACCATATCCGGCTCCTCCTCCTCCTCCTCCTCCTCCTCCTCCTCATCCTCCTGCTCCTCCTCTTCTTCTTCCGCCATATCTTCTCCTCCCCCTCCCCCTCCTCCTCCTCCTCCTCCTGTCCAGAAACGGAAAAGGATCGATAGGCCATGCTTTCACACTTTGTATTCCGACTTTTTTTTCCCTTTTTTTTTTTTCCCTCTCTCCCAATCAATCAATCAATCAATCAATCAATCAATCAATCAATCAATCAGTGATGTTGATTTCTTGATTGGTCAGCTGTTTTTTTTTTCTCGATTGATTGATTGATTGATTGATTGATTGATTGATTGGTTTGTTTTTTTTTTCCCCTTCTCCGCTAGGCTACCAGCCGGGCCGCCCCGGTCACCCTATTTTCCCGGGTGGCCCGGTCATGCAAGGACCGGGGAAGGTCCCAGCCAGAAAAAAAAAAAAGCGAAAAAAAAAATGTTATGCAGAAAAATAAACTGAGAAACGTTTGCCTCAGGGTCACATCGAAATTCTTTACCAAATTTAAAATTAAAATTAAATTTTATTTTTTTAATTTTTTTGGCCTAGCTTCTCAGCACCTTGTCGTTGATTAATTGGTTTGTCTTTTCTGCCCCCCATGGCTTTTTCGTGAACGGAAAATGAATGCAACATGTATTTTATTACCCGAAAAAGTCGGTAAAAAAAACGTCAGTATTGCAAGAATGGGAGGAGGTGGATCTGGATGGGGGGAGCGGGGAAAGGAGGACTGGGAGTCGCTATGGGGGGCAGAAAAGGAGCATTGGGATCTCGAGGAGGGGGAGGAGAATCGGAATTGCAAGGAGGGGAGGAGAGAAGATAGAATCACAGAGATCATGAGGGAGGGAAGGAGGGAGATCGCCATTGGGAGGAGGGGGAAAAAAAGATCTTGATCTGGAGGTGGGAGATCATCAGGAGGGGAAAGAGAGGATCAACATTGGGAGGAGGCCGGATCTGGATCGAGAGGAGGGGAGAAGGAGGATAGGGATTGGGAGGAGGGGGGAAAGGAGGATAGGGATCACATCATGATAGTTCCCAGTCACGCATTCCTACACACCCTTCCCTTCAATCTCATTGCCCGTCCCTACTTCTTTCCTTCGCTCTCGTGCTTCTCATTTAGCATCTTCGACCTGCCTTCGCAGCAAACAACACCGTCTTCACCCTATACCTCACACTGCTCCTATCTCCCTCCCTATCTCTCTCTCTCCCTCTCACAACCTCACAGCTCCGTACAGCAATGAGTCGAATCAGGCTCTCCCCCACTTCACCACTCCTTTCGTTTCCACTTCCCATCTCCTTTTTCCCTTACCTTTTTTTCCTTTCACACTGCCACGTTCTAGGGATGAACATGTCAGCAAGCTATGAAAAGGAGAAGGAGGACGAGCAGGAAGAACAGCAGCAGCAGCAGCAGAAGAAGAAGAAGAAGAAGAGAAAAAAAAGACAAAAAAGAACGGAAATTTACAAAGTCAGAAAGAGTCTTCCTTGTTTCATAAAAGTTGTACAGAAAACAGCAACCAATTTAACAATGCATGTAACGGAGGGTGCACTCACCCCAAACAACTCTTCACGCGAGCGCGAAGGTACCGGACGGTGGGATGTCTTTGTCGATGTAGCCCTTCTCATCGTCGACTTGGAGGGCTGTGTGGGAATAGCTTGTCCTTCTCCCTCTCCCCGTTATCTATCAACAGTGCGGGTGGTGAAACATTCTCCACGTCGCAGACAGCATAGTCTCCCTTTGCCTCCTCTCCTTGTCCTCTCCTCCTCCTCTCCTCCTCACACACACACACACACACACACACTCCTAGTCTTCCACATGACAGAACAGGCTGATGAAGAATAGCAAAAACGTGGCCACCACAACGGACAGCGTCCATGCAGAATGACCCGAACGCGCTGTCGACAACAACAGCGGAGAAAGTAGCAGGAACGGTGGCTGTCTGCCAATTCGACCCACCACGACTGAAGGCTCACTGAACAACATTCAAGCCTCGTCGTTAGAGATGTGAACGGCACAACGTCCCTGCTCCTACCAGGTTTAGGCCACGGCTCTTTGGAAAAAAAAAAAAAAAAGTTTACAGTGGCCTAGTTCAGTTGGTAAGGCGCGCAAGTGGCATTCAGGAGATCTTGGGTTCAATCCCGATTGGCCTCATGTATCGTGGTGGGCAAGCTTGGGGCCCGCCACCCAGAGATAGGCCATTGGTCCCCCCAAGTGGCATTCAGCAGAGACTGCTAATGTTCACAGGGAGAGGGGACTGGAGGGTAGGCACAGCGACTAGACCATCGAAGAAGCTCGGTCCTGATGACCCCTGGCCGGTATCGCCCCTGCTGGTGGGTGCAGCTCCCAAATGTCCCCTCCTTGGAGACTTGAGCACGAATGTGACCCCTATGGGGTTCCCCGTAATACTATAATGACCTAGGCTACCAGCCGGGCCGCCCGGGTCCAGGGTGGCCAGCCCGTCCAAGGACAAGGGAAGGTCCCAGCAAAAAAAAAGAAAATCCAAAAACTCCAAAAAAAAACTATGTTATGCAGAAAAATAAATTGAACAACATCACATCGAAATTATTTACCAACTTTAAAATATAAAATAAAATTTTAATTTTTTTCTTTTTTCTAATTTTTTTTGGCCCGGCCGGGCACGTGACTCTGGTAACCTAGATAATGGGCCCCGCCACACCACTTTTGAAACGGGGAAATTTGTCAAGAGCTGTCAGACGTTCTCAAGAGTTGGGTTTTCAAAAGTTTTCGGCCCCTCGCCACACTGCACTCTCGAAAGGGCGATGCCGTTGGACACAGCATGAAAAACGACAGTCACACAGCTTTGTTTTTTTCGCAAGGGGTCAGGATAACGGCCTGACAGCTCTCAAAAATCGATAGTCGGTCAAGGGTTCGGCCAAGGACGCTTGGAAACGCACGAGTTGTAGGCTGGGGGTTCCACTCTTTCAAGAGCTGCTCTTGAAAGGGTTTCAAGAGCCGTTCTGACAGCTCTTTACTGCCCCAAGTGTCAAGAGGCTGTGCGGTGATGCAGCAACTCTTGAAAAAGAGTTTTCAAGAGTAGTGTGGCGAGGCCCAATGCCAGTAAAAAAGGCGTGAAAGGCCGTCCTGTTCAGATTCGACAGGTAATTGAATTGGTTGGGCTTAGAAGAATTAGCCTTCTTTATTAAAAAAAAAAAAAGAAGTTATTGCCGTTGGTGTCGGCTTCCATTTTTTTTTTCATTTTTTGAATACCTATCTTTTGGAGCGCAGTGTATCCGACCTAGCACCACCTGGTCATAGTAGCACTGGAGCACGGTGTATCTGACCCCTATCACAGCCTAAGGGAACTTCATTTTTTTTTTCAGGTTTCTTATGTTGTGTCTGGGACAGACCCCTAGGTGATGGCACAATCACACCAGCACTCCATAGAATGTATGTGACTGCTATCACAACTTTAGGGATGCATTCTTATTTTCATAATTTTTTTATTTTTTTTTTCCTCTTTTTTTAGCCGTACCAGAAAAGGAAAAATAAATGGTTGTCGGCAAAAGCCACGTTCGACAAAACTTGGTGTGACGGTACCAACCGGGTTGCGGCACCCTGTATCTAACTAGGCACAACGTCTCGTGCTCACACTAGCAGTGGAGCACCATGTATCTCACCGCTATCACTGCATAAGGGATGTTCTTCTTTTGTTTTGTTTCCTCTGTTGTGTCTCGGATAGATGCCCTCCTGAGGACATAAGGCCTCGTCACACCACTCTTGAATCTCGAAAAAAATTGAGGGCTGTTAGAACTTTTCGAGAGGGCGGTTTTCGAGAGAAAAAGGCCCTTCGCCACATAGCACACTCGAAATTTTCCTTTTGAACGTGGATGTTGTCCGCGGCCTGATTTGGTAGTGCTGTGTGGCGGAGCCAACTCTCGAATTGGAAGTGTGTCCGACACCTTCCGCGTCTCGAAGAAGGTGCGTTTTCGAGAGTTGCTTTCGAGATTGTGTTGCTCTCCTTCAGCGCACTAGCGTCCAAAATGGCCTGACAACTCTCAAAATGGACCACGAACTCGAGCACCGGCGGGCGGTATCACGAAAACCCCGAAGCTGTAGGCCTTAGTGGTGCAGGTTCATTTTTGACGTATCAAGTGAGTTTTTGTGCAAATCAATTGATACGTGTATTGGAAAAAAAAAAAAGTCTAAGAGGTGGTTACATTACCTAGCATGACATGCACGAACAAGCTGAGAGCGCGACCACCTCTTCAACACATTGTTAGTAGTCTATGCATGGACAGAGACGTGCTTCATTGACATGCAAAATACTGTATTTCATGCGAACATGTCGATCAAAGAGACGTCGTAGTGTTTCAGCTTACAAGTTACTCAAAAATCATAGTATATACATTTATGTTACCAACATTCAACCAACATTCCACCTTGTTCCTCCAGCGTTAATGATACCCAAAAAACAATATTTGTACAATGACAGCAACGTTGGATGATTATTAGGCGGTGTTACCCAAAACGTTGGTGTTCAACTCAAACGTTAGGCAGACCTGAAAGTCAGCACACATTTTTTTCTGTTGTTAGGGGATGACAAGACCCAGTGCTTCTTTGATCAGACGGTCACCGACCTCCCCTTCTTCCTCACTCTCGAGCCGACTGATCGTCCCCCGACGTCTCGTCGCCACCGCTCCTTGGCACATTTCGATGTGATGGAGACGGGGTATGACTTCATTCTCGGCACTCCGTGGTCTCGTCGGTTCCGCAACAACGAGGCCGATTAAGTGACCAACACTCTCGTTCTACAAAACGAAGTGTGGGCAGACGTATCGCGTACCATTCATAGGTACCACTACGACACCACGCCCCGATCCTCCTCCCCCGGAGCCTTCCGTGCCCACACATCTCCTTCTATCACTGTCACCTCGCCTTGGCAGTTCCCACACTTCATCCGACACGACGACGTCACCTTCTTTATGGTAAACGTGACAGATCTCTTACACTATGATCCACCCTGTCCCGACGCCGAGCTCATCCCTCTGGAGCCAGATCCTCATTCTATCTCCATGGCTCCCATCGCTACTTCCCACCCTCCGCCGTCCGTCGAGTCCACCCCGCCGTCGCTCGCTGACGTTGAGGAACTCGCAGGATATATGGTGGACTTGGAGCCCGCAGTTCGTGACCTCATTCGAGAGTACCACGACGTTTTTCCATCGTCATTCTCGTATGCCGGCATCCCTTCGATGCGCGACGTCGAGCACTCCATCCATCTCGTGCCTGACTATCGTGTTCACCACCATGCACCCTACAGACTCTCGATTCCCGAGGCCATCGAACTCAAGCGTCAGCTTGAGGAGCTCCTGAGACAGGGTTTCATCAAACCCAGCAACTCCCTGTGGGGTGCACCCGTCCTCTTTACTCGCAAAGCGGATGAAACTCTTCATCTCTGCATTGACTATCGCGGTCTCAACCGCTACACGATTAAGAACAGCTACCCCATGCCTCATTCCGATGAGCTGTTTGACCGCCTAGCAGGCAACCGCTTCTTTACGAAGATTGATCTTCGTAGCGGTTACCATCAGATCCGCGTCGCTGCAGCCGACCAGCCGAAGACAACGTTCCGATCGCTCTTCGGCCACTACGAATTCACGGTGATGCCATTCGGCCTCACCAACGCACCCGCTACCTTTCAAAGGGCGATGAACAACATTTTCAGGGACATCCTGCAACAGTACGTTATCGTCTACCTCGACGATATCCTGGTCTACAGTCGTACCCTTGAGGAGTATCTCAGACACCTCCACGACGTCCTTGACCGCTTGCGCAGACATGGCTTCTACGTCAAGCTGAGCAAGTGCCGCTTTGCACAGCACAAAGTGGATTTCGTAGGACACTACATGTCTAACGAGGGTCTCCACATGGACGACGCAAAGATCACTGCTATTGCGGAGTGGCCCGTCCCCACATACGCCAAACAACTTCGCAGCTTTCTAGGCCTTTCCAGCTACTATAGTAATTTCATCCAGGGATACGCTAGGTATTCCTACGTCCTTACCTCCACCCTCCTCCGGAAGAACCCACCCTGGACTTGGACACCCCTCCACGAGGACGCCTTCCGCACCCTCAAAAAGGTCGGGACATGCGCACCGGTTCTTCACCTACCCGATTTTGATCGCCCCTTTATCCTTACCACCGATGTGTCAGACTTTGTTGTAGGAGCACTGCTTTCTCAGATCTTCCCCTCCTCTCCTGATTCCTCTCATCCTCGTATCCCTCACTTCCCACCACCTACCCCTACCACTGCTTCCCGATTGACGCCTACTCGTCCAACTACCGACGAGCCTTCTATTGACTATTCTCCTACCATCGTCGGGGACGGCACTGTCGAGTCTCGCTCAGGTGATTGTCCGATAGCCTTCTACTCTTGTGAGCTCCTGCCCGCCAAGATAAACTACACCGCTGATGAACGTGAGGTTCTCGCAGTAGTTTATGTCGCTCGGCACTGGCGTCACTACCTGCACGGGGCACCATTCACGGTGTGCACGAACAACTCTGTTGTCCAGGCTTTTCTTACAAAACCGAAGCTCACTCCTTGATAGGCTCGCTAGTGGTGCGACCTATCCGAGTCTTGTGCCAAACAACTTTCACCACTGAGCACTTCAAGGGTGAGACTAATTGGGTCGCAGATGCCTTATCCCGACACCCTGACCACGACGAGGAGCAGATCCAGCTCTCTTCCATCTCGTTCACCACTGTCCAGCACTCGGTGATCGACGAGTTTCCCACTCAGTACCGCCAATGCCCCGACTATCGCTAAATCCATGCGACCCTTCGGAGTGGCAAGACCGTCCCGAACTACTCTCTCAGGGACAACGGTCTTGTGTACTGGCACGGTTCATAGGACACCAGAGAGCCCCGTATTTGTATTCCCTCCACTGGACAGCTACGTGTCCGAGCAGTGGTAGAGTTCCATGACCAGGTCGCCGCCGGTCATATGGGCTTCCTCAAGACATTGGCTCATGTGAGCCGCCTGTACGTCTGGCCGAAGCGCAAGGACTACGTCGCAGAGTGTCCCACCTGTCAGGAGGTGAACAGTGCGAACCACCTTCCTTATGGTTTGCTCCAACCTCTTCCTATCCCTGAGGGTCGTTGGCAGTCCATCTGGATGGACTTTATCGGTCCTCTTCGTCCTACGACCCTTCGCGGTCATGATGCTATCCTGGTCGTCGTCGACCGCTTCACGAAGCGTGCATGCTTTGTCCCATGCCGCTATGCCATCAGTGCACGTGAGGTCGCCGACATCGTGTTTGACCGAGTCGTGCGTGACCACGACTTACCTCTGAGCATCATATCTGACCGTGACCCGCGCTTTACCAGTCGATTCTGGCGACGGCTCCACGAGGTGTACGACACTCAGCTCCGCTTCTGCTCGTCTTACCATCCCCAGACTGATGGTCAGACCGAGATCACGAACAGGACTCTCGGGGATATTCTCCGAAAGATTGTTCGTGACGACCGGCAGTGGGATCTCCATCTTGCCTACGCGGAGATAGCCTACAACCACGCCGTCTCGCCAACCACGGGGATGTCGCCTTACTATTGCGACCTCGGCTATCACCCKYGTGTTCCCGCGGACTTCCTTCGACCGTYSMAGATGCACCCCGACACGAGTTGTCCCKCGCTGGATGATTGGGTTGYACACATGACGTCGATCATGAAGACCGCACATGAGCACATAGCCGCTTCCCAGACTCGCATGGCTGCACGTGCGAACCGATCGAGGATGAACCATCCATTCAAAGTCGGTGATGATGTGCTTATCGATGCCCGCCACTTACAGCTCGAAGCGGACACGCTTCGCAAGTTTCGGCGTCGCTTCTTTGGCCCATGCCGCATCCTCCAGGCCGTCGGTTCTAATACGGCATCTAGCCCGGTCAGCTTTCGTGTGAAGCTGCCCGGCTACCTACACCAGGCTCGTATGCACGATGTCTACCACGTCTCGTTATTGCGTCCCTACCGCAGACCGTCTGAGCGTTTCGTTGTGTGACCATACGAGCGCCCTCCACCCATCATGGTGGACGCCCACGAGGAGTTCCTCGTTTCAGACATCATTGGTCGCCAAGTCACCGACGACAACCCTCCCCAGGTCGAGTATCTCGTACGTTGGAAGGGTTACCCTGATGAGGAGGCAACCTGGGAGCCCCTCGAGCATTTGCAGCACGCTCGCATGTTGGTGCGTGCCTATGACCGTGCTCGTTGTGCTGGGTTCATTGCTCCTCCTCAGCCCACTGACCCTCCTCCTTCTCCCCCGGTTGAGGAGACCGCTGAAGTCGAGCCTGCTCCATCTGAGGCAGACCTTCAACAGCATCCGGATGCTTTTGAGCGTCCACAACGCACTCGTCGTCGTCCTGCTCAATACGACGATTGACTCTGACTTACCTTCCCACGCCCTTGACTTTTCGGTACTCCATCCACTCCAGTTTTGCTACTTCAGCTCGTTGACATTGCAACTCTTCCTCGACGACATTCCGGACTTCTCATTGTGGACGTCATCGACAGCTTCATGGACTTCGTCACAATCAGCTTTGCCTACTTCAGACGTCATCACTCTCTTACCACTTTACCCTGTATAGTACCCTGATTGTGTCGCATGATGGTCTCCCTTCGCCGGGTTCCTCTGAGTTGGGCTCTCCCTTGGTATACGCATAGGCATCGGGACCGTAGCGTTGTCCTGGCTTCCCATCTTACGGATCTAACTCCGACTTCCCTCACTTTATGAGTCACTTGCATGATTCCCTTACCCATCACCTTTCTACCCTCTGTCGGCCCTCACGCCCTAGTTAGGCAGCCTTGCATGCTTCATCTAGGTGCGCCCAGTATACCAGGCTCCCTTGTTCCCTTGCATGGTCGACCCTCCATAGCGGTCAACCCTTTAGTCGAGCATTACCCGCCCTGATGGTCTATCTGTTAGGGTCATTGGTTATGTTCGCTCCCAGTTCCTTACCCTCACTGAGCCTGATGGCATGTGTTCCCCCTGTCACTATGTGTGGATGCCCTTAGGAGTTTTCAACCCCTAGGCTGCATTCGCCGCCCTCAGAGACCATCCCACCCTTTGGTTTACGACACACTTCTCATGTGACATATGGTTGCTTTGTTGCTCTGAGACTGAGGCTACTGCCTCCGACATTTCTAGGATTTAGTTGTTCTGCTTTTGCTGTTCTTACGACTTAAACACTAGTCAGCTGTTCCCAGACTGAGGCTACTGCCTCCAACATTCTAAGATCAAGTTGTCACTACTTTCTGCTTTCCTAGGACATGTATGTTAGTTAGTTGCTTCTGCTTTACTTAGGCTGTTAGCTGTGACATTGCTGTTTTGTGACATTTTATATCATTGGTTGCATCGCATGGACTTAGCATGGAGCCCGCTCCGCATCCTAGACTACTCAGGGTTTCTTTTTCTTTGGTAGAGTTCCGCTTCTTAGCGGAAGCGTGCTTGTATCTAGACGATCCATCACAAGCCGAGGATCGTGTAGCGGACCTCTGGTTGGCCTGTTCTCACAGGTGTTTTATTCAGGGTAATCCAGTCCAGGCCGGTACCTCTGTCGGTACCAGCTAGTCTAGTCCATTCCTGTCAGTCCGCTGGGGTATACCCCAGCTGTTGTCTGTATTCTCCATCATTCTACACTTGCATGATTTTGGAGTACGTGCGTTGGAGTCTTGCATGGGAGCTGCGCTGTGCCATCTCGCTCCTCCCTCATCCTCCATCTCTATCTGTATCCCAGGCGGAGCACCTTCCCGGTGGGTCCGCATAAGCCTCGAGTCGGTAAGGGGGAAGGTTTCATTTCAAAGGTGGCCTGGGACTTAATAGCGCAGCCCAGGGAAGAGGGAGGGCTAGGAATCAGAGACCCCCACAAAAACAATTGTCAGTCGCTCTCTCAGTGGCTTCTCAGGGTATCAATCAGTCAAGGGGGTGAACATTGGATTTTGATGGGTGAACATATTCTAGGGGAAGAATGGGGATTGGCTCGTAAGGAGGACGTGTGGCTCTGTCTCCAGTTAGAATCGCATGTGAACAGGAAGATTCGTTCTACCTTTTGGGTCGGAGTGGTTGCGGCATGGAAGAAGGTGAACTTGAAACCTAACGAATGGTTAGAGTCAGTCACAAAGCAGGAAGTACTGAGACAACCGACAATCCCAAAATCTGCAACACTATGGGACTGAGCTTCAGAGCAAACAAGGAAGCAGGTACGTTTGGGGATAGTTGGATTAGAAGGGGGGTGCTCCGCATTGCGGATACCTGGGTAGCCCTAGAGGGGAGATTGATCACAACGGAGGAGATCAGACATTAGGCAATCTGCACTTGGTGGAGGAGAAATTGGCAGAACAGATTGCAGCGATCCCAGAATCCTGGCACAAGTTACTAGCCCCAGAGGGGGTAGACCCACCAGGCACATGGTACTCAACAACCACACCTGGAGAAGAAACGAGATACTGGAAATTACTCTCGTATTCATCGGACGGCAGAAGGCTCTTCCAGGGGTGGACCAAGCCCCCCGGCAGATTCCAAACTCAACTACAGCCCTCTGAAGAGCAAACCACTTACCCACCGATGGAACTATCACTAGCCCAAGTAAGGGTGGAGGAAACCTGGGATAAGGAGAACACTCATCTTTGTACGCTCCTCTCAGAACTTTGAGTAGCGGACTGCAAGTTAGATCCTTCAGCATGGGGTTGGAGGGGATTGGGTAAAAACGGCGCATCGCTGAAGTTGCATCAGATGAATCAGATCTGGCGGTGGCTACGAAGCGCTGGAACAGTATGGTGGACAACTCTGATGAATTGGTCAGTAGGGGAATGACGCGACTTTGGACACAACTCAAGCTGCTCCCATCTCAGAAATATGCAGCCCTCCTTTGGCACCTCTCGCTCCTTGTCACTCCTTCAGCGGTCTGGTTGGCAGGCAGAGGCATGGAAGTTTGAATGGCATGCAGCAGGTGCAGGTGGCCATATGAATCCACAGTTCATTTGTGGTGGGACTGTCTCGCATCCACCAGAATTTGGAAGTGGTGGGAGACCCACTGGAAGGTGTTTTCGGAATGGGAGTGGAAATGGGACAGAAATTGGGCCCTTTTGGGCATCCTACCAGAGGACTTGCCGATTTCCAAGGGCTGTGGTTATGTGGTGCAATCCTGCAGAGCGATCATCTGTTCTGTCATATGGGACTGCCGGAATAAGTCGGCAAGGGTACTTCCGACAAAGAAACGAAGGAACTGATCCGTTCCAGACTGCGCCAGGCTATAAAAGCAGATTGGAACAGGAAGAACTGCCAAGGGAGGAGAAGCAGCAGGAATTGCAGATGGTTCTTGGACACGTGGGGTCGAAGTAAGGCATCAAACTGGTTGGTGAATGTTGACAGAGAAGGAAAACTGGAATTCTGTTCATGGTTATAGGAAGGAGTATAGTATGAAGCAGGGCACTCGGTTCGTTTAGCCGCAGGAGGTAGGCAGTTTAGGTGGAAGGTGGTTTTGGGCTTGTGTATGTGCAAGGAGTGTCACCTTGGTGTAGGGGGTCGGAATAGACCGGATAGGTGTAGGGTACAACTAAGGAAACCCACCTCTGGTTGTCCTGCCCCTTGGCCAGGGAAGTGTGGGTATGGTGGCGCAATCATTGGAATCTTATTACAGGGCCGGCCTGGCCGTGGACGGACGAATGGATCTTATATGGGGTTCCGCCCATCCCAGGCTCAACATGCAAAGCAGGCTGGGGTTATGTTGCTCTCGTGTGCAGAGGAGTGCAAGAAATCTGGCGGGCCAGGAACTCTATGGTCTTCAACAAGGTAAAAGTGACTCTGCAGGAACAACAGCAGCAGGTACGTAACAATTTAAGAGATATGATCATGACGGATTGGCATACCAGCTTCAGGAGTCGAAAGAAAGGATATCTCTGGTTCTTGAGGACGTGGGCTAACGGTCATCAACTTGCAGTAATCTCCACAGACCGCAAGCCGACATTGCCGAGGTGGCTAAGACCTGAATAAATGAGCGATCCGGTGGTGGCCACCAGATGGGGTATTCAGATAATATATAGGGTAGCCTTAACTATCCCTGTTGCTAGACAGAGTGGCTTGGGGCAGAATGTTTAAATTTTGAATCAGTCACAGTCTGGGGATGGTTTTAGCAGCTACCAGCTTTTCTGTGCTTCAAAGTTCAACTTTTTTTGGAAAGATAGACGTAGGATGGTTTTTAGCAGGGGACGCTGGACCCGGTTTCCAGTATTAGCCGAATCTGGGTAATGGCCCCAGCAGTTCTCCCGGGTTGAATTGTGAGGTCCCCGCCTCTTTTCCATCCAATTGGTAATACATGGACAACTTTCCAAAAAAAAAACAACAAAAAAAAAGAACTAAGGAAACCTGAAGAGCAGAGAGCTCGAAGAGACAGTTTTGAGAATTTTCGGCAAGGCATCGAGTCGGAACCGGGACTAGATCCCTTTGTCCAAGGTCCAACCGGGTTGTTTGTAAGGATTCCCGGCCTCAAAGTTTGTGCTTTGATAATGGATTCTCTACTTTCCCCCCCCCAAAAAAAAAATAATAAATAAAAAACCATAAAATTGCGTTATACATAGTAGAATACTTCAAGTTGGTTTTTTTTTGGAAGACCTCTTGTGATTTGGACTGGATGGGACGCTGGACCCGGTTTCCAGCTTGAGCCTATGCTGGGTAATGGCCCCGGCACCCTCTCCGGGTTGTTTGTTGAGGGATTCCCGGCCTCATCCTTCGAAGTTGTAATGAAATTGAAGTTCTTCCAAAAACAAAATAATAATAATAAAAAACAAATAGTAGAATACTTCGCTAGTGGGTCCAGGCCCCTGGAAAAAAAAAAGCCGTGAGTGCTCTTTCAAGGGGGGACCAACAAAAACAAAATGTAGTATCTGTTCAGATCTGTTCAATATCTGATGCGTGGTTCATCGGATCGCAAAACAAAAAACAAAAAAAACAAACAAAGTGCGCCACTTTCCCGATCCAGCGTATACGACATTCCCGCAGGAAGACTGCCTGGAATGTATCGGAAAGGACCGGCGCCAAACGGCAACTTCCTGCGCACGTGTTTTGTCTTCTGTTGTTATGGGGCTCCACATGCACAACAGACAAAAAATACGGCGGTGCATCTTTCCATGTTCTAGCCAAAGATTCATTCTCATTTTTCACTTTTGGAGAGTAGGGCAGCGAGGCCCTATATTTTCTTTTTCCTTTTCTTTTTTCTTTTTTTCTTTTTTAACTTCATGGCTGAGGTGACCACATTTTGCACTTATTTGTCCACGTAATTCTGGTTTTGTACACGCAGTTCCTGCCGTACATGCGGTCAGATACGCCCTCATTGCAGATCAAAGATCGTCATTTAAAAGTGAGCCGCTTATTCGGTCAGGGAGAGAAATATACACTCAGGTGAACAGGCGCCGGTCAGGGAGAGAAATATACACTCAGGTGAACAGGGGCCTCGCCGCACTACTCTCCATACGTGCAAACTCGGGATGGATCTTCCGCTAAAACATGGAAACACGCACCACCATAATTTTCCGTCTTGTGTGCGTGTGGAGAGTAGTGGAGCGAGCGCCCTGCTTTCTGGGCGCCCTCTCTCTCTCTCTCTCTCGCAAAATATATATATATATATATATATCCTCTTCTCCCTCTCTGCCTACGGTTTACCGGGCAGTTCTATTTGACGCCGCAGGCGTGACGCTTTGGGAGGAGGTTGGGTCGGCTGTGGCAAGGATAAAAGTGAGGTTGCGGCCTTCCAGCCATCAAATCTCCGAGTGTAACTGCCAAGGGTGTACGAGGTGATTGCAGTTTTTCGCGGCAAGGTGAGTCGTGTGCTCCGTTCATCGTCGCCCGCAGTTCACAGCTACGAATGCTTTTTTCGCTCCACCTCGCGCCCATGTCAACCCCCGCAGCCCTTCTTCTTCTTAGTCTAAACCTTCTGCCCTCCGATGGCCGATCCTCTCCGTCAGCAGCTCCCCTACCCTCCAATGAACCTCCTCCCTCTTCCCTGCACATCATCTCCGAGTTTTCTGGTCTGGTCCCTCGCCCTTTTGGCCCGGACGTCCTCCCCGCCTGAATCTGGTATCCATAGAGTCAGATTCAGCCAAACTGTCCTGGTGGGACCACGCCCTCACTCCTGCACCTCGCTTTTCTTCATCTTTCGCGCGAGCTTCAACATTTAACTCGCGCACGCAGTTTGAGAGATCCGGGGAAGATTCGTCACGTTGCAATCGCTTGACCAGATATGATTGCATGGGGTTCTCGCACCGTCGGATTTCACTTTGCGTTTCCTATGTCGTTCTAGTGTTCCTTGGACTCTTTTTCCTATTTATGATCTTCGCTCTTCTCTTTCTTCGTCAACAACTCGTTATTGATGCTGAGTGGTATGATAATGATGGTGACGACACTTGTGCTCTGCAATAATGAAGGTTCTTGCGCGATTTAACGACCGTCCCGCGGTGAAGTTCTGCTTTTTCTTTCTGCTCGCTTGATCTCAGTCTCGATGTCCTTTGAACCTAAGTCAGGAGATGTCGGAATGAGCTCTTCGTCTCCATCGTCTTCACAGTGACCAGTGATTGTCTTAGCATGAATGTCCACCAGTTCTTATTTCACACTCTCTGTGAGTGAGTGAGCGAGTGAGTGAGCGAGTGAGCGAGTGAGCGAGTGAGCGAGTGAGCGAGTGAGCGAGTGAGCGAGCGAGTGAGCGAGAGAGAGATTCCCTCACTCCCCACGGTCTACTTCTTCCGAGCTTCTCTCGTCAGCTTTCAATATTCTCACTCCTCTCTCTTCTACCCTTAGTGAGTCGTCTCCATTCTCGTCCTTTTCTCTCTCTGCAAGAATCGCAATAGTGATGGTTATGTCCAATTTAAGGCAGTGCCCTTGCGGGAGAGAATAAGCAGTCAGAATGAACCGGTAAATGGACAGTGAATGCGCTTGCATGGTTTCGCCTTCGACAACGATGCCGACTTTTGTCTCTTTCTGTTCCCCTGCTTCCGCAGCTCTTCCTCATACTTAGTCAAAGGTGGGATTGGTGGAGCTGTTCTTGACATGTGCCGCGGGGGTCATTGTTGCGGTTGGTAATGGTGACTCTAACCACATGCTGTTGTACCTCTCTCTCTCTCTCTCTCTCTCTCTCTCTCTCTCTCTCTCTCTCCTGTGATTCTCTTGTTGATGCAGGGATCGTTATTTGGCAATCTGGAGACTTGCAGTCCGAAGCATTCTAGCTGTTGAGTCGACAGCGATTTGGGAAAGATGGGTCAGTTTTCGGCAGCCTTGGCCGTTGCGAGCTTGGTCCTGCTTGCGAGCGTCCTCCACGTCGCACATGCCTCCGGCCGGGAATGCCCATGCTCCCCTGGGACGAAGCGGTGCACCCCCACCGGTCCCTGCATTAAGTGCTGCAAGGATTGTGATTGCGGCACGGGGCAGAAGTGCGTCGAGGGAGAGTGCAAGCTCCCGTGCTGCCCGGCTGGACTGAAACGCTGCGTTCCCACCGGTCCCTGCGTGAAGTGCTGCAAGGATTGTGATTGCGGTGATTGTGGCACGGCGGAGAAGTGCGTAGAGGGACAGTGCAAGCTCCCGTGCTGCCCGGCTGGACTGAAGCGGTGCACCCCCACCGGTCCCTGCTTGAAGTGCTGCAAGGATTGTGATTGCGGCACGGGG